TCTTTTTTTTTTTTTAAATACAACAGAGTACTACTCATCCATAAAGGATGAGCTTGAGACATTTCAAGGTAAATAGATGCTCTTTGAGACAATACTCAGATGAAATTAATGGAACATTTAAATACTGCATTGTTTCTCTGGTGTGAGAAACCAAAAGTGGAAATAAGGACTAAAATGTACAATAAACACTGGGAAACAGGAAGAAAATATTCAAATGAGAAGGGGGACAAGCGAGGGGAAGGAAAGAAAAGGACAAGAAAAAAAATGAAAAAGCTTTTATACAAAAGGGAGGGGAGATGGAGAAAAAAGGAGATATATCATGTACTGGTACAAATTCCCTATGATGAATGTCATCGTTATGTATATCTAAAATGTACCAATACATGTTTTGCTTAAAAAAACAAAAAAAGGGATGGATGAATGCCAATGGCTAAAAGGAGTGAATCTCACTTTCTAAGTTCCTGAGACCTCCCCAGCCCCATGGATTCCCACACTCAAAGCAGTTGCTTAAAGGATCACCTTACTGCCTTCCCCGTCTCCTTCTGTAAACAACTAACTGATTTAGATAACCATGTTGGTTGGTTATTTGCAGCACCACAGAAATGCACTTCCTTGATTTCTAATTAGGTGCAGTGGAAGAATCCCTGCTTTGAAATTAGACCTGCACTCTTAGTGCTGTTTCCAACTAAGGATAAAACTGTGGGTGAGATTTTGGGGGGGGGTTGTTTTTTGAGACAGGGTCTCACTATGTAGTTGAGACTGACCTGGAACTATGTAGCCCACACTGGTTTCAAACTCACAGTGATGCTCCTGCCTCAGCCTTCCCAGTGCTGGGATTATAGGCATGTGCCACCACGCCTGGCTGAGATATTTATTTTTGTTGTTGTTTTGAGACAGGGTCTTCCTATGTAGTCAGGCTGTCCTTGAATTTACTACATAGCTATGTAGCCCAGGCTGGTCTCCAACTCTCAGCAATCATCCTGTCTCAGCCTTCCCAGTGCTAGGGTCAAGGCATGTACCATCACACCTAATATTGGGGTTTTGTTGTCTTCAATGTAACATTAGAGTTTGGAACAAAAACTATTCTGTTGCTTATGATTCTAAAGGAATTTACAATTATAAATTGTCTTGCATATATATATATATATTTACATAAATTACATATTGCATAAATTCTGAAAAGAATTGAAAAGACACACCTTGGGAATACTGAATTTTAAATACCCTTTATTACTTTTTAAAATTCAAAATCCCCTGGTAACCACATATTGTTATATAAATATATAACATATGTGGTTTTTTCCTCCTTTTATTTACTTGATTCCTTTCATGCAATTTATGTCACATGTGATTAAGAAATATATAATCTCTGGGCTGGCGATTTAGCTCAGTGGTGCCACCACCTGCCTTGCAAGTGCAAGGCTCTGAGTTTGATCCCTGGTATTAAAAAACAAAAAAAACAAAAAAAAACGCAAAACCCTAGAATTTGCACATCCATCTTCTATTTACTTTCTTTTTGTCTATTTGCAGGATCTTCTGTTCTACAGATATCCCTCATTGAACACCCACCTGGTAAATGACTGTTCACACATACAGCAGAGGTGTACTTTTTGGACATATGATCCATCTTTATTCTTATTTATTGATCTTTTTGCAGTTCTCTACATCTTGTTGATACAGCCTCAATGCATCTTTTTTGTATGGCACACCTTGTTTACACAGTACTATAATTTTGCTGATTGTCCTGTAGAGTACAATAGTTTTGTGCTGTTACACATCACAGTACAGCATGTAAGTTATGCAAATAAAAGCAAAGTCGTCAAGTTGGAGTTTCCTTTGACCATTTCTTTGTTCTGAACATTGTAATGTACATGCCATTTATCATGCCTCATCTAGTAACCAGGTTTGGTTTAATGAGGTAGTTGCAAAATGGGAGTTGGTTGTTACATGAGGGGAGCCTGTCGCCTATCGCATTTGAGGCCCATTCAGTAGGTATGTAGTACAAATAAACACATTTATGAAAAGACAAATAACTTCAAAATATGTTTTATTTTTTGTTTTTTTTGTTTTTTGGTACCGGGGATTGAACTCAGGTCCTTGCACTTGCAAGGCAGGCCACCGAACCGCTGAGCTAAATCTCTGGCCCTAAAATATGTATTATTTCTATAATGCCTGACACTGGGGAAAAATAAGCTATATGGTTTGCCTGTTTTGATGTGGGAGTGATTTGTAGCACAGTCTTATGAGGCCTGTTGATCACACAGTATCACAGTACACATCTTGCCTTGGTCCTTAAATGAGGAGTATCTATTTCTTTGACTATGTACTACAAAGATTTTAATATATTAACAGTTACATTTTAAAATTATTCTTAGGACTTTTTATTTTATTTTAGGACGTTTGTTTAACATTTTACAGAATTTAATTAAGCACATAAAGCTGTACTACTTAATATATTTCTCCATGAACTTTTTGTGAAATTCAGATCACAGTGTATCATTTACAAATCTTTTGTCTTTCTTCTGATCATCTATACCCTTGGCACAATTCTTGAAAACAACATCATCATCCCACCTTTCTTTTAACTTTGAAGTTGGCCTGCGGTTGGTATGGGCCAGTGAGATTAAGGAGAGGATTTCCACTAAGAATGTTTTCCATATGAATCTTTTCTTCTTCAGCTTTTTGTTTTTGTTCCTTCCTGTCCTGATCTTCAGCTTATTTTTTCCCCATTTCTGCAAGAAGAGGTGCAGTATCATCATCACTCTCTTCCTCAAAATCTTCATGCTCCTCACCTGTTAGAGGATCATCTGCATCAAGGTTGGCAGCAGAAATCTGGTCTAACCGAGGCTTGACATTGAAGAGGTTGTGTGTTCTTGGGTTGGATGATCCCTATTTTTGTCTCTTGCAGCAGCTCTCTCTCTCTTCCAATTCTCTCCTAAAGTCTCAATTTTGAACCTCTTCAGGGGCATCCTGAGTAGTTTGTCTATATTTTATCTTTGTATGAGAGGAAAGGTCCCTACTTGAATATTGTTTTGAGAGTTGGCTCAAATCACCTTCTCCTTTCCCTCTTCCACCTCTGTGGCTCAAAAGTTGGCCTGGCTGCTGTTGTCACTTTGTATGTCAGTATAAGATTATATTGCAATCCTCCTGCCACACACATTGGCTCAAATACTAAACCAGTACTTTTGTTTTTAGATACTTCCTTTTTCATAAAAGTATGTGGGTTTGTTTTGTTTTGGTACTCGGGATTGAACTTGTTTTGTTTTTTTGAGTCAAGCTCTCACTTTGTATTTCAGGCTGGCTCTGAACCCGCTATGTAGCCCAGGCTGGCCTCTTAACTACCCCAAAATCCTCTTGTCTCACCCTCTCAAGTGCTGGGATTATAAGTGTGTACCACCATGCCCAACGAAAGTATGTGTTTTTTAACAGTAACTTCTATAGATTTTCTGCATAGCACAGTTAAAATTTACCTTTGTTGGATGTGGTAATACATGCCTCTTCCCAGATAATCAGTTGAGATAGAAGAATCACAAGTTTGAGCCCAGCCTGGGCAACTTAGTGAGATTCTGTCTTAAAATAAAAATTTTAAAAAGTGATGGGGATGTAGTTTCATGGTAGAGTGCCCCTGGGTTCGATCCAAATAAATAAATAAATAAATAAATAAACGAATAAATAAATAAATAAATGTAAACAAATACAAAGAGAGCTGGGTGTGGTGGCGCATGCCTGTAATCCCAGCACTCAGGTGGCTGAGGCAGGAGGATCACCATGAGTTCAAAGCCAGTCTGGGCTACATAGTGAGTTTAGGGCCAGCCTGAACAACAAAGGGAGACCCTGTCTCAAAACAAAACAAACAAATAAATACATAAAATAATGGCTGAGGCTAAAAAATAAGAATTTTGCTCTTATTTTGAATTATATAATTTGTCCAAGTTCTGTATATCATCCCATCTTGCTTTTTCATGTGTTTTTCTTCAAGCTAGGTGCAGCAGTGGCACATGCCTGTAATCCCAGCTATTCAGTAATCCTACTAAGACAGAACGATTGCAAGTTTTAGCCCAGCCTGGGCAATTCAGTGAGACCTTGTCTCAAAATTTAAAAATGAAAAAGAGCTGGGACAAAATGGTGTATAAAGGCACTGAGTTCAATCAAAACCAAAAAAGAAGTTTTCACTGGGCATGGTGGCATATACCTATGATCCCAGAACTTGGGAGGCTGAGGCAGAAGGATCTCCATGACTTCAAGGCCAGCCTGAACTACATAATGAGACTATGGGCAAAACAAAAGGGCAGGGGATTTAGCTTTGCCTTGCAAGTGCAAAGTCCTGAGTTCAATTCCTAGTACCAAAACAAACAAATAAAACCAACACACATGCACAAAAAAATAAAAACAAAGAATGCACAATAGGCAATATAATTAGGATCTTTGTGTAATTGGCCATGTAATTCATTTCCTGCAGAATATCTCTGAAGTTAAAGTACCAAAGAAAACTATTCCTTAAATGTTGTTTTAGAGTAATTTCTGTTACAGTCTACTGATAATCTAATTTTCTGTCATCCCCTTAGAATTCCAGCCCTCTTGGGAATCAGAAATTAGATAATGGGTGTATGATACTGAATTAGTCCACTGATTGGTTTAAGATAGTTCTGGGTGTGGGTGGTGGACTTACTGAAGAGGGAAGACTCACTCACCCTGGATGTGGATAGAATAAAAGAGGATAGAAGACTGGTTGCTTTCTGCCTAACCTGCCATGGACTGTTTCTCCTCTGCTATGCCACCCTGCCATGCCACCCTGCCTTGGAGCCAGCCAACTATAGACTGAAACCTCCACAAACTGAGCTAAAATAAACCTTTTTTCCTTTAATTGTGGGTGAATTTTTTTTCCAGCAATGAGAAAGTAAGGCACTGGATGATTTATTTGTATTAATATCTGCCTGAAACTCCCCACTTTAAACTGTCATTCCCCATAATGCTTCCTAATTAAGCTGTTATTTTGTCTTAAATCAGCTTTTAGTCAGTAGCTTATTCACTGTTGGGAGTCTCATTCACACTCTGAAGCAAGTAACATCTTTGTTCTGGAACTGCCATATCTCTACCTCTTGACGCAACCTGACATCTTCCTTCAGGTTCTGTACCTCTCAGTACATTCAATTTCTTGTTTCTTCAAGCCAGATTAGCCAAATTTTGCTAAAATCATAAACATTTCCTTAGGGGACCCTATGTAACAGCACTACAGAGCCTGCTGAGAAACTTCAGCATTTGCATAGAGATTCAGAGAATTAATCTGCATCTCAAAATAAATGACCCCAAACCAGTCACAGGAGCATTTCAAGCTGGAAACAAAATTCACTGGATTTAATCCACAGTTTGGGATCACCCACTGAAAAGAAGCTAAGTTGAAGTGACATTTAGTAGACAGCCCTATCCTTTCAGCTTTGAGAATGGAACTGGAGGAGTTGCCTTTGGTCTTATTTCAAGCTGGCATTTTATAGCTAGCTTAGCATTTGGGTCAAAACTACCCAAGATGGGAGGAACAAATCTAAATCTTTGTATCAAAGAATAGGCAATGGAAGTTGCCCTACTCGTTTTCCAAATTCCTAATTTGTACTACACCCTTGCCAAGGAAAGACCTCTGCCCCTCAACTGTCAGTGATGGGTTTGGCCCTGGCTCCAGAAGCTTCAGATTCAGGGGACATCAGTTCCATTTCTGGCTCTGACATGGTGCTGGCCTCAGCTCCAGTCCGCCTCAATCATGGCAAACAGCTGGCTAAGCCTCTTCTTAATGTCAGACTCACTGGGAGACCGACAGGCCTTTGCGTGCACCCTGACATGCTCAGCCAGCTTAGATTTATAGATGAAGCCTTTCCCGCAGTCATCACAGGAAAAGGGCCTCTCGGGCCTGTGGATGCGCTGGTGCCTCCGCATGTGACCCCTCTCCCGAAAGTTCTTGTCACACTCAGGGCAGCGGAAGGGTCTCTCTCCAGTGTGCAGGCCTTGGTGGCTGAGCAGCTGAGCCTTCAAGCGGAAGCGCTTGTCACAGGTGGGACACTGGAAGGGCTTCTCTCCGGTGTGTGTGCGCACATGCTCGGTGAGCTTGGACTGCTTGGCAAAGCCCTTACCGCAGGCGCAGGAGAAGGGCATCTTCCCACGGTGCAGCAGCTGATGAGCCCTCATGTCTGCCTTCACGCGGTAACGCTTGTCGCACTCCGGGCACTGGAAGGGCCTTTCCCCTGTGTGTAGGCGCCGGTGGCTGACTAGCTGCCCCTTCAGGCGGAAGCCACGGTCACACTCCGGGCAGCGGAAAGGGCGCTCACCGCTGTGCACGCGCAGGTGCTCAATAAGCTTAGACTGGCGCGCAAAGCCTTTGGCACACTGGGGGCACGAGAAGGGGCGCTCCACACTGTGTGTGCGCTGGTGAGCCTTCAGAATACCCTTGAGGCGGAAGCACTTGCCGCACTCTGGGCAAGCGAAGGGCCGTTCCCCGCTGTGTACACGCAGGTGCTCACGGAGCTTGCAGCGGTGAGCAAAGCCGCGGCCACACTCGCCGCAGGAGTAGGGCGTCTCACCGCAGTGCTGCTGTTCATGGGTGCCCAGCGCGCATGGTGGACACTGGAAGGTTTTCTCATCCGGGCGCAGCTGCTGTCCCTGCCAGTGGAAGCCCCTGCCACACTGGGGACACTGGAAAGGCCGCTCCCTGAGCATGCACTGTGTGGCAAAACCCTCGCCACATTTTCGGCAGTGGGAAGGCTTCCCCCTCTTGTGCCTAAGGCTGTGGCTGAGCAGAGTCTGCTCCTGATGAAAACGCAGTTTGCAATGGGGGCACTGGAATGGGCTCTTCCTCCCATGGGCGGCCAGGTGTCTCTGCAAACACCGCTGCAGGCGGAAGCTCTGCCCACACTCTGGGCACAAGAAGAGCCCCAGAGCTCTCTGCAGCGGCTGTGCCTCAGCTAGCTTGTTGAACTTCTGCCAGGCCCTATCCCTAGGTGACAGGTCCTTGGAATGGTTCCTCTGGTGCCTTACTAAGTGGTTCTTCTCCCAAAAGTTTTTGCTGCAGACAGAGCAAGGGTACTGAGTGCTTTGCCAAGAGGGGACTTCCTGTGAGCCAGGGAAATGCAGAACACCGTGGCTTGGGATCCCTTCTCTTTGGACAGACTCGCTGGCCTCTGCCACCAGGGCCCATGTGTTCTGTCTCTTTGGGCTCAGGGGAGTGAGGCTTGGGTCAGGCCTTTCTCCGAAAAATCTGAATTCAAGGGAAGACTGACTCTGAAGAGGATCTAACTGGAATTGACATTCAGTTTCTCTTGATTTTACAGTTTGGTGATCTCCTGAAATTGAAACAAAAATTCAGTTAGTCTGCCTTTCTATCCATGACTAAAAACTGTCACCACAGAAGTGCTCTCTAACATGGCGTGGCCTGAAAACCCTGCTTCCACCAAACTTCCCAAGCACATAGTGTGCTTTTTAAATGAATCTAGTGACAGTCTCCTGAAACTAGTAGACCTATCTTATAACATTGAAAAGAGAATACAGGTCATAAAGTTCCAGTGTAAGCTCTGGAATCAGACAGCCTGGGTTCAAATCCCATTTGCCCACCATGTAATCTTTGTTAAATGGATTACTTTTGGCTTTGGCTGCTTATCCTGTATAAACAGGGAAACAACACATAAGCAACTGCTGACCACTATGATAACTTCAGAAGATCAGACTTGCCCTGTTTGATGTAAGACATACCTAAGGCCACAAGGTATGTTCCTAAAAGAGCCTGAATACCTGTTCTGTGTCACCCACATGCTTCTCTGGCTCTAAAACCAGGCAGCAAGGCTCAGCTCTAGTCCTCCATGCCCCTATCATCACCAATTTTTAAAAAATTCTGGTGACTGAACCCAAGGTACGTGCTTGATCATTAAGCCACACTCCCAGCCTCAACCAATGTTTTAACAAAAATTCTTGGAAGAATTAATAGATGAAAAAAAGTGAAATAATTTCTTTTTAAAAAATAGCAAGAACCGGGCCAGGGATTTAGCTCAGTAGTTCTGCTGCCTGTCTCGCAAGCTCAAGAACCTGAGTTTGATCCCTGGTACCAAAAACAAAATAAAACAAATAAATAAAATAAAAAATAGCAAGAACCAAAAAACATCCTTTGCTCTCCAGAAAGCAGCAGCTATAAATAGATGAAGATTTCTTAGGGTAGTACTCATGTTTGATTTTTTTTTTCCACTTAGTAATTTAATACTGAGTTTTAAGAACCCCAGTGTCAGATTCTCCCATCATGACAAGATATGGAAGATAAGCTCAAGTTTGAACATTCAAATAGATGATCGTCTCCTGGTAGCATGGAAAGCACTTTAGTCACAAAGATATCCAATCCGTCTCTGCTTCTGTTCTTTCCTATCCCCTACCAAGAACAGCTTCCATCAATGATGGGTATGGAACCACTTTAAATGGCACCTGATAAGCCAGTTTAATCCTGTAGTGTAGGCACTTTGCTCATCTTCCTTCTGTACGCTAGGAATCGAAATACTTATAGGATCAGTAGCCTGCCCAGAGTCACCCAAAGAGGCAGGATGCAGACTCACACTGCAGAACCCACACTCCTACCCACTGTGCTACCACCTCTGTCTAGAATCTTTGAAACACGAAGCCTTTGCTTTGCCAAACAGAAAGTCAAGACCAAAGAAGAGAAACTAGAAATTTGATGTCTTAATATCAGGCCCATTTATTTTTTGGCACTGGGGATGGAACTCAGGACCTTGTACTTGCCAGGCAGGCACAGCACCACTGAGCTAAATCCCCGGCCCAGACCATTTCTCAATACTCACCCCCAAACAGCTGTCCCTCAATAACTTGATCAAAATGCAGGTCAGCGGAGGAGAGAACCATGTTTCCCGGTTGTTGGAATTCTCCCCAGCTTCTGAAGGGCTCTCTCCCCTGTTCAATCCAGGAAATTAGTTCCGGTTTGGGAAGTGCACCATCTGCACAGAGAAGTCAGACAGGATAGTTTGGCTTCCTTGGGCACCATATTTAAAGTTGCTTCTGAGTTTTTCCAAAACCCATTTCTAGGACAATGCATGTCAATAAACAATAGGTTTATGTGAAGGGGAGTAAAACTGCCCATCTATCTAACAGTGCTTGCTAGTCTATCTGGGTCTGTCAGGCTGGATGTGCTGTTTTGTCACAGCCCTTGTGCATCTAGCAATGCTGTATTTCAACCACAAGCCACATAGCAAAGGCTTTAATACTTTTTATTTTTTGAGGCTTTTTTGAGACAGGGTCTCACTATGTCCTTCAGGCTGGCCTTAAAACTCAATATATAGCCCAGGCTGGCCTTGAACTCATGGCAATCCTTCTGCCTCAGGCTCCCAAGTGCTGGGATTACAGGTGTGCACTACCATGCCCTGCAGGAGTACATTTTAAAGGTAGTTAGCTGTGGCAAAATTATGTCAAAAGGATTTTTAAAAATAATTTTTATTAAAAATATTTCTGGGGCCAGGGATTTAGCTCAGTGGTTCCACCACCTGCCTTGCAAGCACAAGGGCCCAAGTTTGATCCCTGTTACCAAAAAAACAAAACAAAACAAATCACATAAAAATATTTCTGGGTTGGGGATTTGGGGATTTAGCTCAGTTCTGCTGCCTGCCTTGCAAGCACAAGGTCCCAAGTTTGATCCTCAGCACCAAAAAAAGAAAAAGAAAAAGAAAAAGAAAAAAAGAAAAATATATACAAATAAAATATAAATATATAAAATATAAATAAAATATTAAAATATATTAAAATAAATATATTTTTTAAGGTGGGTCAGGGATTTAGCTCAGTGGTGTCACCACCTGCCTCACAAGTGCAAGGTCCTGAGTTCAATTCCTGGTACCAAAAAAAAAAAAAGATTTCTAAGCAAAGAAAAGTAAGAATATACAAAAACCTTGTTGCCATGTCAAATCTTACTATGTTGACAAACTTCACGCTTTTTAAGGACAAGAGACACTGCCCAATTTAAACCCCTAAATGTGGTGTCTATCCCCAGAGATAAGCACTACTCTGAATTTATTGTTTATCATGCCCATGCATGTTTTCTTTTTTCTTTTTTGTAGTGCTGGAGATTGATTTTAGGACCCTGTGCATACTAAACTATCAGTGAGGCACAGCTCCAGCCCAGTGTTTTTATTTTTTAAATAAATACATACACATAAATATTTTATTCCTGGTTTTGAATTTTATGTAAACCATATCATATCATTCTGTAACTTAAATTATGTGTCTGAAATGTCTCCATTTTGAAACAAAGCTTAGGCTTATTCACTGTGTGAAGGGATGACCCTGTCCCAATCCGTCTGGTCCTCTGCTCCCTGGCATGCTGCTCCAGGCACATCTGCAATGCAGTGAGTGCGTTTCTATCACCGCACATCCAGTCAGCTGCACTCTCACAAGCGCATCTGCTTCACATCCTAACAACCAGCAGACATCTTCCCATCTCTAATACCACAAGTCATGCTAGCTGATAGGACAGTCACCTTCCTTCTTGTTCCCAGAGAGCTCTTTTTTTTTTTTTTTGGTACCAGGGATCGAACTCAGGACCTTACACTTGCAATGCAGGCACAGAGCCTCTGAGCCTCCCAGAGGGTTCTTGATGGTTTCTGGTTCTCTGCTCGTCCACGTTCTTTAGGTCAGCGTACAGGCCATGAAAAGTCCCACAGGGATTTTGGTTGGAATTCCTTTGGACATATAGATTGATTTGAGAACTGACAGAAGGCGGAAAGTTTCATGTAACTGACTATGATTAAGAGGATGGATAATTAGAGGGATACAGAATGAGAGCAAGAGTAAAAAAATTAAAAATCCAAATTTAAATAGTCATGACCCAACAGTGAGTAAATTAAAATGCTGCATGATCTTGAATAACTACTGAGTATGAAAAGGGGGAACCACTTGATCTCAATGCTTAGGACATTTTGCGGGGGGGGCTGACAGAATTAATGACATATAATTATTATTTATCTGTATAAATTGAATTACTTTAATGGATTCTTTGGTAACAGTAAAAACAATGTAGTGTTTTAGAAAAAAATCCATAGACAGGATTTGGAAAACTTACTCTGGCAACAAAACAGAGAATACAAGTTTTATAAACCTTGCAGTTGCAGTATAAAGGAAGTGGTATAGTTGTCAAGAACAAAGGAATACAAGAAAACTCAGCACCTTATCTTTGTACACAGGCAGAGCCAAGCGATGAAAAGTTGATGGAAGATATACGTTTATATAAATTATTTTAAATTATGAAACAATAGAGAAATAGAAATGATAAAAAACTGGAGAAATAGTGAAAAGAGATAGAAGAGGGATAGTATAAGTTGGGCAATGTCTCATTTTTCACAGTAATTAGTGTTAGCTAAATTCAATGAACCAAGAAATAGGTGTTACCATGATATTTAGACTGGAAGAAACCACTTTATGAACTAAAATAAAAATAGTTGTCTCTGGAGTTGACTGAGTGTGAGGTAAGAATGAAGCAGGACCCATTTGTCATTCATCCTTCATCTGATGCTTCTCTGAACAGAGTTTTTAAAACTTTATTTCATAAATTAGAAGAAATATAAAGGGTCTGGGGATGTAGCTCAGTTACATATCACTTGCCCAGCAGGTGCAAGGCTCTGAGTTTCATCCCCAATATGACCAAAAACAAAACAACTCCCCCAAACTTACATTTATTATCATAACCATAGTAAGCTACTCTTAAATATCTATGTGAATCCTTCCAGAATCTCACTCGAGGGAAGAATATTAGCTGCCTTTATTGGGGTGAGGAGATATAAGTGGTTACCAGTGACTGAGCCTAAGCCCTCATACATGCTAGGCAAGTGTTCTACCACTAAGCTACATCCCTGGCCTGACATTTGGTTTCTTAAAGTCTAACTCACTGGGAAGCTATGTGGAAGACCATTCATAGGTTAAAGATATATGTATAGGTACCTGAGCTGGAGATGTAGCTCAGAATTAGAGTACTTGCCTAGCATGTGCAGGACCCTGAGTTCAATCTCCAGTACCACACAAATAAATAAATAAATAAATAAATAAACAAACAAACAAATGAGGGAGAAACAGACAGACACACAGACACTTTATGGTAAGAGTTAGGTATGTTCCCAGGTGGAAAACCATAGCAATCTGAGCGTAAGCTCTGATGGAAGTCTTGGATTGTTCTTAGTCACCTCTCACCCCCTGATGTTAGGTGTTGCCTCAAATATTCCTGAGTAACAATGTTCACCCTGGAGTGAGGGCTGGTAGTGTATACAGAAGTATTAACAAAAGAATGGGAGTAAGAAACCTTTCTGAGATAATTTCTGAGGAATCTTCTATCTGACAAACAAGAGCACCTAGCGAGTTACACCTTTCATGGGAGCCGCTTCCATATTTATCCCTGTAGCTGCATGCATCTTACCTAGAGAGACAAGAGTTTCGTAATTGGTCCTCATGACACCCTTGTAAAGCTCCTTCTGCCATGTCTCTAGGTCCTGCCATTCTTGCTCCGAGAAATAAATGGCAACATCTTCAAAAGTCAGAGGTAACTGAAATCACAGACATAGATGTGACTGCTTCAAAATCACTCCAGCTCCTCATTAATTTAAAAGGCTCTGTCTGGTGGCCAATTGTTTAGTCTATCCAGCAGCCTCTTCCTTGGGAACAGTATACTTCTTGTCCTAGTCCAGTCACAGGTTCTTCTGTTAGCCACTACAACCCACTCCACATTTCTTTAAACCTAAATTATATATCTCTAAGCATGGAATGGAGCTTTTCCTAAAAAAAAAGAAATCACTATGTAATTCATTCACTTAATATATGTGATGGCCATTTTCCAGGTCAATAGAAAGAGGCAAGATCATTTTTGGGATAAACTGCATTAAATTGCATGAATGTATATATCTTTCTGAATGGACATACTCATTGTTTATTAAAACTCCCTTTCTAAACTACAAACAACACATGATTATGTATTAGTACTCTACTTTGTAGCATAAAGTCTAAAAAGGAGACAAGCATCTTTAATTTTATTTACTTTTTGTGGTGCTGAGGATTAAATCCAAGGCCTTACACATGCTAGGCAAGAGTTCTACCAGTGAACTACATTTCCAACTTAATTTAATAATTGTGTTTACTATTGTTGACTTGGAAAATTTATACTTGCTGAGGTTCATTAACTAGAATTATGTAAATTATGTATTTGTTAATTTAAAATTCTACCACTACATAACTGCTCATTCCACATCTTATTGAATTTTCTTTTAAGTTAAAATTTAAACTTTTAACTTTAGTGTGTTCTTTTCTGTGGCTATTAAAGCACATTTCATTTCAACTTTTATTTTTAATTTATGTTTATCTTTTTGTTACATTTGGCATGAAGTTTAGAATTGGGTTTTAAAAACTATAATAGTTCCTTTATATTTAGGTAAAAAAAATTCATTATTTAAACTTTGTGAAATAGTCATTTTTGCAATAACCTATTAGGGATATACTGGGGAATCTGTTTACATTGTTTTGTCTGTGAGAAACATTAGGTCACTGTTTCTCAATCTGGGCAATTTTGTCTCCTGGACCACTTTAGGACAAGTCTGGTGATATTTCTGATTTGATGGAACTGAGGAGGAGGGGGGTGTGTGCTAGTGTCATCTAGCGGAATCTGCCAAGTATCAGACGAACCTCATAGAGAAAACCTTCTGGTACAAAATGTCAGTAGTGGAAAGGGGTGAGAAACCAAAAACTGAGCTTCGTAGGGCACCCAAAATGTTCAGACACACTCTTCAGACTTCTACCAGTTACCTCACACTTATGAGGTGTTATGAGCCCTATCTAAACACATCTGGTATCACAATTTTCTATCTCATTTCACCACATGCACAAAACTGCTGTATGTACTATATAGTGAAGCCCCCTTTTTTTTAAAAAGGCAAAGGCATAGAGTTCAGCACCCCTCCACATTTCGGGCGTGTGGAGCGTTCGTGGAATGTACCTCGTATTTTAGATTGAACAAGGTATTTTTAAGTTAATGATCTTAATTCGTTTAACAGCAAGTAAGAGTGCTTAGTAGAATGGTTAGAAAAACATGCCATGACCTTGCTTTCAATAAAACACTAAATAAACAATGTACAATTTGTATGGATTTTACTCTCCTCTACCCTCGGAACAACCCTTCCTTCCTACTCAACGCAAACGCGATCCCGTTAGCGGCTAAATCCTGACATTCAAGGCCTCACGTTACAAACATCACCCCAAGCCCCTGAAATCTTAAATCCGTCAAACCTGGGCTCTGGTCCTCCCCCGCGCCCCTCGCCGCCTGGGCCTCGGTCCACGCTTGGCTTTGTTTTCGGGTCTGGTCACGGCGCCCCCGGGATC